ATTCTTGGATGTCGGAGCCGCCGGCTGGTGGATCTCTGGAAGTGGTCGATTGGAATGACAAAAGGCCAAACTGGTAGATCAGTTGGCCGCAGTCGGAGAATTAAGACGGCAAATGCCGGTTAGGGAACAAAGGGCTTAAAAAGAGGAAAAGGAAATGAGAGAGACGAGAAAGAGAGAGAGTCCATCTAACATACATGGGCCGTGAGAAGGCACATGGGCTATAGACATTAAAATGGGCCTATTTTATAAAACTTATCAACCCGTTTTTATCAGCCCATCCTCGTTAAAGGGTACGAAATTTACATCCGGAAGAGTTCAACAGCCACGGTTTCCATGAGTACACACATACATCTGCATCACCTAATTAAGCAGTCGAAATTTAAATAAAAACATCTATCACGGTATCACCTGCTGCATACATCACTTCTAACCAACACTCGGAAACGATTAAATTAAAAAACCCCACCAACTGATATGCAAATTATCTCGAATCGATTGAACCGTGAAACATGAACCGGCACCAGCCCGAAGCTCCGATGGCATGTAATACGCTTGGATAGGTCCCGACGGAAAAGTTTCCGACGCTCAAGGCAGTGTCTGTCCGTCATAAAGTCGAGAGTGTGTATGTAAGCTCTCGTGTGTGTGTGTGTGTGTTGTGTAAAGTAGAGAACTTGGTTATCTTACCTAAGGTAGCTTTGTGATCAAGAGTGCTAGTTTAGAAAGAGATCCTCTCGTATCAACTTTACTAAGTGGCAAGATCTTCTGAATCTAGGAGTCCTTAGCGACATGCACTTCTCGTCTTTAAAGGATTCTGTCCCCTCCTGTTGCACGGCTCCTAGGTCTCGAGATTCGACCTCCGTACCAACCTGCCACAAGTCTTATACAGGTCGTAACCACGACCCCAATCCCACCTACCTACAGGTCATGAGGTTTCTCCTATATCTTAGCTGTTATTCAATGTAGTGTTTTGATTACAGCGAGAACCTATGAACTGACTAAAGTGTTCAGTTCGTACAATTTGAACTAAAACAAAATCGAAAATTACAAAAGAGAAAGCGAAAACAGCCGAGGCGATTGCTCTTTCCGCAAGACAAAACGCCCCGTATAGTGCTGACGGGTTCAGGCGTCTCGTCCCCAAAGATACAACGGCTTATGTCTCGAATACTGTAGCACACCAGAATTCGAGCTCCGACGAACTGGAATGAAGTCGAGAACAAAGCAGTATGATATGATGCGTGAGGCTTTGAGAGTATCCAGAGTGCATGC